AGGGGTGCTTCAAAACATTCATGTCGTGTGATGACGACATACTTGATGCCTTGGGATCCTTAGGCCACCAAGATCTAACTCAGCAGGTAAGCGATCAGTTAGAACGATTTGTCTGCCTGCTATACAGATTTAAAGTACACACCAAATTCAACGAGCTTCGTTGGTTCTTGTATTCGAATCGCGCAGCTGAGGGAGAGAGTCTTCCTCTAACTGCTGGCTCGTTAACACTCCATATTCAACGAGCACATTACATAGCAATAATTTGGCGAAAAGCTGGAGAAAGCCATCCACGCCTCCCGTCTCCTGTCGATTATGGGTGGCAGTTAGATGCGACTGGGAGCCATTACGCGCCAGTGAGATGTATAAATCCTCCAGCTCCCGCAGCAGTGATGAACTTGGTAAAGTGTGGATGCAAACGTGAATGCACGGGAAGATGTAGCTGTCGGAATAACAATATCCCATGCACAGAAGTATGCGGATGCGTGGGCTTCAGCTGCACAAACCAAGCTAACTCAGAACTAGTAGTAATAGACATGGATGAGGATGAATAAAGATCAATGCTCATATAGATGTATTCCTATAACCTAAATAACGAGTTTGTCTATTCAAATTAATTATGTTAACACAATAATGTGGTGTCTTTCCTTTCTCCTGCATTTCAAATACACAAGTCCACATAATTGTGACGCATAGCTATTCAACATGCTGATAGAAACCTATTTTACTTCGTCTGTTAACATTTTTGCTCGTATATGGCAGCCATCTTTTTTCTACTTCATTTTTCGGACCTATAGATAGCAAAATTGAATTCCCTATGCATTAAAATGTATGAATAGATACCTCATTTGTGTTTTTATCGTAACTGGTTGCAAAGATATGACATAATGTATATTTCAACACTTCCGTGGCGACCATCTTGGAATTTATTGATTTTCAGACCGATAGGGGTTTCGAAATAATTGCCACCCACATTTTTTTCATTTAGTACATATTCTAATGCAGAATCAAGTGATAATTCACTTTTAACAAGCATTTGACACGAAATTTACATAAGGGCATACACTATATATTTGGAAAGCGTGCAAAAAATGAACAAAAAATGAAAATTCTAATAAAAATTGCACACAAAATGAAGTGCACAGATAATGCACAATCAGAAGAATTGCATCTTAATGCGTTTTTTGTTCTTGTTTTTGGGCGACGATCTGAGAAATTCGTGGCCTTGTTTTAGCAAGGGCTACCCTCATAACATTTTCGCATGCAAGCTTGCTCCTTTTCTTTGTTTTGATGTCCACCAGTTTCGAAAACGGATGCTCACAAATACAAAATATATATAAAACAATTTTTTGTACAAAATTTTAATGCGTTTCGGAGAACCTGTGCCGAACCCCTGAGACTGGCTCACCGAACCCCTGGGGTTCGGTCGAACCCAGGTTAAGAACTACTGATAGGAAGAAAGAAGATGGGTATGAGCGTAGAGAGAGAGGGGGCGGGAGAGAGAGTTGATGAGAGGGTAGAGGGGAGAGAGGGAGAGGGAGAAAGAGAAAAGCAAACTGATTGGTTGATCTGTAGACTGACCGCCTAACCGCAGACTACATTGCCCACACACGTCTAGTTATCCTTATATGTACCGAGTGTACGGTAAACGGAAGATGGCGGTAAGATATACCTTTCCGCATGAATGGTGTCGCATCCTGCGTTCTGCCTGCTTTCATACCAGTGTAGTTAACCGTGTTGTTCCTCTTCATGCTGCTAAATGTCGTAGCTTCGACTATTTTGTCAATCTTCTCCTCGCTCAAATTCTTGCCAAGGAAGTTTGCGACACGTCTGACTTCGCCTTTTAGATCCTAAAACCAGGAGAGAGTTACATTATGTACGTCTACGACGCGTTGACATTGTATTTTCCTTGTTTTCCCTAGCCGAGTTTATGCAATAGACGATAATAATTGTCACGTCTGTAGTTTGGTTTTAATAAACCCGAACGAGTAATTTAGTTTGAACCGCAGTTGAATGTTCGCGTTACAGTTATTCTGTGAACTGCAATCAGAATCAGAATCTAGCACGCACACAATCTGAGATATTTCAGATACGAATTACCTTTTTCATGTCTTCGTATTTCACGAAAAGTATGTTTTTCCAGTGCCTGCGTTCCCAGAAATCTACTTGATGCGCCCAATATTCACCGTAATCACCTGTTAAAAGTTTATATCCTTGTTATCATGGTATTACCAGGAGAATATAAAAGGAATAATTACTAATTACTTATTATCATTTATTCTTGATATATATAGGTATATATATATTCTTTTCTTTCTATTTTTGTTTAAATATGTTATGACTGGAAGAGCTGTGTGTAGTTTATTCATGAGGCAGACACACATCAGCGCACGCACGGCACGCGACGCACGCACGCACGCACGCACGCATTGCGTGCATGTAGGCAAGTTAATGTTTACTATAAAGGAAAACACTGTGAAGTAACGATACAAAGGTCCTAGCTCGTGGTATTACATTGTGACCATGGACCTGTGTAACAGCGAGGATTAATTGAAATACAAACAACACAACAAACATGATGCGTACATTTTCCCTGGCATATAGTACATTGTAAACTCAGGAAAGGTGCTGTTAGCGAACAGTCGGCTTGTGAAATTCCGATATGGCGATAAGTCAAATCCCTTGAGGAAGTGATAGAGGAAACTGCCGTATCTTAGGGTTCCTGCCATACGTTACAATATGAGAACAAAGAATGACATCGTTACTACAATTCCAATCTTAATCGTGTACTAGTCAATGATTTTGAATCGTACCACGTTTAATGATTACATTTATCCGAATTATATGTAGTCCAACAACCGTATTGCAACAAAGTATCGTGATGAAGTAAGCTTTCTTTGACCAGTTTCATATCTTCCCCATCATCTGTATACTATTCACTCCCGTGCTTAACAATAAGTGCTGAAGTTTAAGGCGACTGAAAATATTATGTCTATATAAAATAATAACTCGGAAATGCAATAAAATTATTTTTATGTGTCGAGTTCCGCAACTGTGCTCGGCTATTTATGGTGAAACGTAATTGCGATGGAAAGCTGCAGGCCGTATTCGGATATGAGCGAGCCATTCCTCCATATTGTGCATTAGTTATCATATTCTCGTGCATGAGTCACGAGATTCTTGTGGACCCCGCAACATAAAGTCACCGTCAGCGCATATATCCACTCTCGCAAGACATGAATATGTGATTAATAAATGCGTACTACGTCTTGGATGGTGTTTAGGTTCTTTCTATAACGATTTTGTTGGAGAAAAGTTGTACGATTCGCAGTATGTGTTCTTTGGAAGCAGCCTGTGGCACGCATGGTCTCGCACGCCGCATAAGCGGGGACTTTCTGTAGTTTGCTTGACAGCCTTAACGATGTCCGCGCTGTGCATGCGTGTCTTTTAACTAATAGTTAAATTTGGCCGACTCCAGCATTTGGGCTAATTTCAGCTCGCCGGAAGGCTGGCGATTCACTGCAGGGCGTTCGCGTAAATGCACGAAATTTCTCAGCATACTTTTCGCAAGTCAGAAAGGTTCGCGGCCGTCTGCGTCATTCATGACGATGCCAGACGAATTGCCTGCAATCCATGTGGTATCGATACTCCGTTCAGCTTAGAGATCAGTATCCATCATCATCACTAGTCTACTGCTGAACGTGTGAGCGAGGATATATGGCGTGTGTGTCTGTACGCCAAACTGGACGTCTGGGTTGTGCGGCTGGGTTACGCACGCAGTGGGGGAATGAGACCGTGCAATAGAACAATTCGCTTTAACATTAATTTGCTCTACTATTATTTGAAATTAGTGCATCACATGATAAATCGTTGAAATTCCATTGGATAACGTCGCAGGTACTATGAAACAATTGTGCCCGCCTGAGCGGGCACTATTGCTTGCGCGACGCAGTGCGCAGTGCGCTTGCGATACTCGGACAATACTTTTATTCCAATGTTTATTCCAGTTGCAATGTGTTACGTTTGTGGTTTAATACAAATTGAAATTGTTCGTTTAAGAAACTTTGTCTTATTCACTTCATATTTGCCGAGTAGATTGCAAAGTCATGTGATGCTTTAATATATAAATATAGACTGCTACTCGTTCTCTGCTTCTAGTACAGTTAGGTCAGGATACCATCAAAATCGTTCAAAATGTGAAAAAAGTGTGAAAATCGGTACACTTGCATACTTTTGTATGCTCTTTCATTTAAAGACAGGATACACGCGATCCAACTACAACTTCGGCCGCCATCTTGAATTCAAAAATGGCCGCCGTCATTTCTTAAAAAATAGCTATATCTCGGTTAATAATCTTTGTACAGGCTTGAAAATTGACTGACAGACGTCATTTGGGTTACTATTTTATACAACAACGTGATGCATGTGATCCGTTTTTGCCCACCATCTTGGATTCAAAATGGCCACCATAAAAATTACAAACTTAGCAATATTTCCGTTCACGGAAGATATAGAGACGTGAAAATTTGCAGACTGGCGCAGGTTAATACGTTCTTTCATATTAAAACAAGACACACAAGTTCCAATTATAATTACAGAGGCCATATTGAATTCAACATGGCCGCCATCACATTTTACTCTGTACTTCAAAATGATCAATGACATAGTATAACAGATACAAACAAACATGGTGAAAATGTTGAATTACCGGTTTTTCTCAGTATATAACAAACACAATGCCAAACTGGCAATCCCCAGTGTGAGAGAGAGATAATTCAAGACATCAAGTTGTAGTATACAGTACACAAGAACATGCATGGCAAACTAAATAATACTATTGTTCAAGTTAAACAAATGTCTCAAGACTGCATTGTCCACAAGTTGTCGCAGATTGTCACTCAGTGCGGTAACATGTACCTGCACAAACACAAATATAGTACTTGTAAGTAACTTGATATGTACAATCGACTATAGTATCTGTTATGTGCTTGTTGCGTTCTCGCGGGCTGTACATGATATATCCTGTTATGTGCGTTTGCGTGCTCTTGCGCGCGTAATATAGCTATCTGAATTTTATGTTGCGTGCGTGATCGGCGGCGTATTATAAAAAACGTATCTGTTTATGTGCGTGCAGTGCGTTCTCGCGAGGCGTATTTAGGATACACCTAGTTTATGTGAGTGCGTGCTCGGCGCGACGTATCTTGCATATCTGTTATTTGCAGTGCGTGCGTTCTCGCGGGCGTATTTAGGTACTTGTTATGATTGAGTGCGTGCTTCGCGCGCGAGGTCTATATTAGCGCTATCTTTATGTGCGTGACGTGCGTTTCTCGCGGGCGTATAGGTAGGGTGTGTGGTGTGATGCGTGCGTCGCGCGGTATCTCTCGCTAAATCTGCGTTCTCGCGGGCGTATAAGGTACACTGATTAATGGTGTTAATCTGTTATTGTGAGTTGCAGTGCGTTTCTTGCGTGTATAAGCCTGTTATGTTGCGTGCCGTTGCTCGCCGAGCGCGTATTATTCTATCTGTTTTTGCGTGCCGTGCTCGTTTCGCGGGCGCTCACTCAGGCNGTATATGACATGTGTGTAGTTTTTCACGCAGGCAGACACACACGCGCGCACGCACGCTCGCACACACGCCTGCACTGTAGGCAATTAAGTGAATGTTTTACTACGAGGAAACACTGGAAGCTAACGATACAAAGCGTGTATACATTGTGACCATGACCTCGTGTAACAGGAGCATTAATAGATAACAACAACTACAACAACAACAACAACAACAACAACAACAACAACAACAACAACATGATGCGTACATTTTCCCTGCATATAGTACTTGTAAAACTCAGGAAAGGTGCTGTTAGCGAAGTCGTTGTGAACTCCGAATAGCGATGAGTCAAATCCTTTGATGAAGTGATAAAAGGAAACTGCCGTATCTTTAGGGTTCCTGCTAACGTATACAATCTGCAACATAAATGACATCGTTACTACAATTCGCCATCTTAAATACGTCTACTAACATGTTTTGAATCGTACACAGTTAACTGATTACATTATCAGATTATATGTTAGTCAACAACCGATATCAACCAAAGTATCGTGATGAAAGTAAGCAATTCTTTGGTCCAGTATCATATCTCCCATCATCCTATCCTATCACATCAGTGTCAACAATAAGTGCCTAATTTAGCATGAAAAATATTATATCTTGTAATATATGAAATGCTAACATTTTACGCTCGACTGCTCGGCTTATTGGTGACGTAATGATGACGTAATGATAGGAACATTCATGTGTTTTCATTGATAAACGATCGGGTCACCGTCCAACGATATCACTCTTCAATAAAATTTTAATTATAATATACTTTTGGAGTTTTGGTCCTTTCTACGATTTCGGTTGGAAGAAGTTGAAAATTCAGATGTGTTTTGAAGAGCCTTGGCGATGGTCTCGCCTCCCAGTCGGGACATTCTGGAAGTTTCTTCAGCTTTCCGAACTCTGCCATATCTTTACTATTGAATGGCCACTCCAGCATTGGGAATAATTCATCGAGTGCCTTGCTGCCACCTTGGAATGCGACGTCCGCGTCATTCATGACGAGCCAGACGATTGCCTGCATCCATGTTGTACCTGTAGAGATATATCATCATCACTAGTCTACTGCTGAACGTGTGAGCGAGGATATACGGTGTGTGTGTCTCTAAGCCAAGCTGTACGTCTGGGTTGTGCGGCTGGGTTACGCACGCAGTGGGGGAATAAGACCGTGCAATACAACAATTCGCTACAACATTAATTTGCTCTACTATTATTTAAAAATATAGACTGCTACTCGTTCTCTGCTTCTGCTAAAACAAGTTTGTTTCGATAGATCTTTTTATAGGTGTGTGCGCGCGCGCGCGTGTGTGTGTGTGTGTGTGTGTGTGTGTGTGTGTGTTGTCATTTGCTGCGTGTTCGTGCGGTGCTGTTGCGTGTGCGTGGGCGCGTGCGTGCGTGTGTAGTTAATGGTAGTATTATAGTTTAGTATCAATTTTCAAGAATGAGTGACTAGCTTACTAAAAATTGTCACAACTTACCACATTTCGGAATAGGACATGACATAGACATCGTCGTCACTCGGCATTTCAGGCTTCTGCGTACTCGCGGCATGTAAGTTACCATGTACGTAGACAAGAAAGTGTTTTTATAAACACTGAGATAACTAGGTAGCGGCAACTCTTCATCCTGAATTTTCTCTGACATCTTGCAGTACAAATACAGTATCAAATGTGGAGCAAAATCCTTCGGTAACCGCCTGTCTGCATAGCGTGCACGTAACTTGTGGGTGTTATAACGGCGGAGCAGGGCGAATTCAACACTGAGCGTCCTCCTCTGTCGCTTACTTATGCATAACGTCAACTCATGCATAGGTCAGTGCATGAATATATTTTATATCTACACCTGATGAACTTTTATTTTTTTCTAATAGAGCACTATCGGTTAGACACGTGAACCGAAACGCCATAAAAACGTCACGATCGGCGCAAAAAAAAGTTTAAAAATCTAAATTCTAAGCTAACTGTTAAAAGTACATTCATGATCACATATGACATGAGAATATCTAACATGAGCATAATTTATTATATCGCATCTTATCAAGAACTAATAATACATATTATGGTAATTTAATGTAGCATTAGCTGTTGATATTATAAGGGGTGAATAATGACAAATATTGTGACATATGACATCCATCAACATATGACGTTATGATCAACACGACATTTGTCATTATTCACCCTTAATATGATGGCCATTTAGTTCCAGTATCTACAACCTGGGGAGCGCCATGTATTCGGGATTATATGCACGGGGAGTACGCAGCGTAGTGCAGAGAGTCAGCATTCGCGCCGACGTTAGGCTTTTCTTTTTGCAGTGAGGAGTTGTTTACCGCAAATAGGAGAGTTATTAGTGGTGCAATACTATTATTACACATTATTTTTATTTTTACTGATTTGTTGGAACTGCTAGTGGTGTTTGTATCTGCGCGTGATATCAGTTTATCGCGAGTTTTATGTGTTGTCATATCGCCGCGAATAAATAGTAGCACACTAAGCACAGTGGCATCCTCTGGGGGTGAATTTAAGGACATTGCATTCATATTGCAGATAGTTCTTTATATTGACACCATAATGTAGAAGTGTTATTTTCTATTTGTAATTGTTTTCTAAGTATTTTACATTAAAATCAACGAGATCAACGGGAATTCAAGACTGACCTTTTTATGACCTCGATAACATGAGTCATCAAACCGTACGTTGCCCTTCTCAAGCTCAACAGAAAGACTAAAAATGAACTGTCAGTGCATGTATACCTACAGTGTTGATAAGAGCCGCATAACAGGGTTATCACCAGCTAACAGCTCCGGTAAAAACACACCATCGTCTTTTTCTTGTGCACAATCAAAAACTCGGGTACGAGATTGTCGGAGGATTGAAACACGCTTGCACGGAAGACATTTTTTGAACAAAAAACATTCGACAGTATGAACGCTCTCGCTGCTTTCTTGCTCCATCCCTCTAACCTGTAGCATAGGAGAGCCAAGCTTGCAGTTATCGGTAGTAGAGGAAGCGCCACCAGATGTGTCGATCCTAACCGCTGAGCGCGGATCTTGCGCGCAGTTCCGCGGCAAGGCGCACGCGACCGCGGGAACGACCTACGACAGAATGGAGCGCTGGCAGTTATGGAGCCGTGCGCCGAATCCATAGGTTAGCGCACCGATCCATAGCTGCCAGCGAACAGTCGGGAATTTTAGGGACACACTGTCACACACACACACACACACACACACACACACACACACACACACACACACACA